GGATTATAGGGCCTTGAATAAGGAAACTGTGCTAGACAAGTTTTCCATCCCAGTGATAGATGAGCTATTGGATGAACTGAGTGGGGCAGTTATCTTCACCAAGATATATTTGAAGTTAGGATACCATCATATTCGAATGAAAGGGGAGGACGTGTTGAAGTCTTCTTTCTGAATGCATGAGGACATTATGAGTTCTTGGTGCTGTCTTTTGGCCTTACTAATGCCCCAACCACCTTCCAGTCCCTCATGAACAAAATTTTTTGACCCTATATCAGGATATTTGTGTTGGTTTTCTTTGATAATATCCTGGAGTATAGCAGGTCAGAGGAGGAACACTGGGAGCACTTGAGGACAGTCTTAGAAGTGTAATAGGAGCAACAACTGAGGGCCAATTTAAAGAAATGTTGCTTTGCATAGACCAGTGTGGAATACTTGGGACATGTAATTTCTTAGGAGGGTGTAATCGCTAATCAAGCTAAGATTGAGGTAATACTAAAAATACTAAGATGGACATTACCAAAGAATCTAAGGGAGCTGAGGGGTTTCCTAGGGTTGACAGGATACTATAGGAGGTTCGTGAAGGGCTATAACACCATCTTCTGGCCACTGACAGAATAGCTGACGAAAGATAACTTCTTATGGGGGAGGCATCCACAATTGCTTTTGAGAGATTGAAGAAGGCTATGAGCACTGTACCGGTCTTGGCCCTGCCAAATTTCAAACATGTGTTTGTAGTAGAGATGAACACATCAGAGTATAGCTTGAGAGCAGTACTTATGCAGCCCCACTGATCCATAGCTTACTTTAGCCAGGTGTTGACAGCTAGAGCCAGGCTGAAGTTCAATCTACGAGAGGGAGTTAATGGTGATTGTGCTAACCATCCTGAAGTGGTGATATTATTTGTTGGGTCGGCATTTCATTGTCAGGATGGATCAACGGAGTATGAAGTACTTGTTTGAGAAGAGGATGATGACAGAGGAGCACCAGAGATGACTGTCAAAGTTATTGTGATATGACTTTTAAATTCAATATATGCCTGAGATAGAGAACAAGGCGGCAAATGCCTTATACAGATGTATGGGGGAGCTATAGGAGATGGCCGTGTCGATACCACTGATGCTAGATTGGAGACCATTTAGGAGGAGAGTGCACGGGATGAGGAGTTGGGGAGGATCAAGACAGATTTATTGAAGGATGAGAGTAGCCACACTGGTTATTCTCTAGAGGGGGAAAGGTTGTTGTACCAGGGAAGATTTGTGATGCCGAGAACATTATTTCACATCTCCATCTACTCCAGGAGTTCCATGGGAGCGCTGTTGGGGGTCATTCAGTGGTGCAAAAGACATACATGAGACTCGCCTCAGAGTTGTATTAGAAGGGGATGCATAAGAATATGGAGGAGTTGGTAGCCAGTTGTGACGTTTGTCAGAGGAATAAGTATATGACCATGGCTCCAGAAGGATTATTGAAGCCGCTAGCTCTACCAGATCGGGTGTGGGAGGAGCTCTCTATGGATTTCATAAATGGGCTACCTTGATTGGAAGGGTTCACAGTGATTCTAGTGGTACTGGATAGACTGAGCAAGTATGCTCATTTCATTCCCCTACGACACCCTATATGACAATGACAGTGGCATCATCTTTCAACTGGGAGGTTGTCAGACTGCATGAGATATCAGAGTCCTTAGTATCCGACAGGGAAAAAGTGTTCCTCAGTCATTTTTGTAAGGAGTTATTCAGGCTACAGGGGACAGTTCTGAAGAGGAGTGCAGATTACCACCCGCAAATAGATTGATAGACAGGGGTGATAAACAGGAGCTTGGAGACATATCTACGATGTTTTGCTTTAGAGACCCCTCGGTTTTGGGCCAAGTGGCTTGCATGGCAGAGTACCGGTACAACACATCATATCATTTCTCTTCCCAGATTAACTCATTCAAAGTGTTGTACAGACGATCTACGCCTAACCTGGTACATTTTGGGCATAGTAGCACTCCAGTTTCTGCAGTAAAAGAATACTTGGAGGAGAGGGATAGGTTGCTGGAAAGTTAGAAAGGCATATGTTGAGGGCTCAATAGGTTATGAAGACATAGGCGGATGGGCATAGGAATGATATCCAGTTTGAAGCGGGGATTGGGTGTTCTTGAAGCTTTGACCTTACAGGCAGAGGATGGTTGCTAACAGGAGGAACGAGAAGCTGCTCCAAGATATTTTGGGCCTTTTGAGATATTACAAAAAATTGGAGAAGTGATGTATCATTTGAGGTTGATCAAGTGGAGGGACCTTCCCAATTATGATGCTACATGGAAGCCTTACTAGAGGGTGCAACATCAATTCCCATATTTCCACCTTGAGGACAAGGTGCTTCTTTGGAGCGGGGTATTGATAGGCATAGACCGGTCTAGCTGGCTCAACCCGTGGGCGAGGCCGGCTCAAGCAATACAAGTGGAAGCCTGCTGTTCTGTAGGCTCCAAATCTAGCCCCCCTTGGGGTGGGGTCCACTACCTATGGGAGATAGAATGAGGGCTATTTAGACATTTTGTGTTATTTTTATGTTTGCTTTAAGTAGAAGTTTGTATTAGGGTTTGGGGATGATGTTTGTTTGCTGAATTTTGGTTGGTACTTGGCGTTTTAGGCTCTAGCGACGTCTAGAGAGTTGGGAGAGATCGATCCTCCTCTTGAATTGAGGATCTACTGTATCTTGATAATTTTCTTCCATTTCTCGATTATCACAACAATATTACTGTTTTTCCTGATTTGGTTGGGGTTTTGTGGAGAAAAATAGCTGGAATCTTAAAATTGATTGGTTCCACTTGAGTTCTTCAAGTGTTTCCCATCACATACCTCCACTTATTCATCTCACATATGTTCAAGCAGTGGTCTTGTATTAAAGAGGGATTATGGATGATGAATGTGCATTGACTATAGGTCCTTAATATGATTATCATAAGGAATAACTATTTATTGGTATAAATGGAGGAGTTGACCGATAAACTATAATTGGCCAAGTATTTCTCCCAATGGATTTAAAATCTGGCTATCATCAAATCTAAGTTAGAGAAGAAAATTTCAAGTGTATTTTTAAAATGAAGTAGAGATTGTATGAATGGTAAGTGACTCCGTCTGAATTTTGTAATATGCCAACAACCTTCATAAGACTGATGAATGAAGTGTTGTACATTTTTTTAGAAAAATTTGTAATTTTTTTCAAAAAGACTTTTTGGTGAATAGCAACATTGAGAGTAATTTGTAATTTTTTTTCAAGAATACTTTTTGGTGAATAGCAACAGGAAACCAAGGTTGTAATTCAGCTCAAGAAATGCGAGTTTGACAACCTCAAAGTTATTTACCTTAGCTTCATAGCAGGCGGGGAAGAATTAAAAACGGATCCAGAGAAGGCAGGGAAAATCCAGAATTAGCCCAAACCATGCACCAGTTTTTAAGTGTAGGGTTCTCATCAGCACATGTGGAAGTTCATCCACTACTTCTTAGCACTTTTTGGCCCCTTGCAAGCACTCGTAAGGTACTGGTCGCTCCTTCCAATATGGTGAAAATGGGGAGAACATCTTTCAATTTTTGATAGAAAAATCACGAAGGTGCTAGTACTTGCTCCTCCTAACCTGCAATGACAATTTGAGTTGGAGACGAATGCTTCCAACTATGCCATTGGTGTCATGCAAGTGCTGCCAATATTCCATGAAGACTTGGGATTGAACTCTTTCATACATGCATTTTTCTTTCAGCTGTGTCAACATAAAAGTCATAGTTTGAGGCCTGTTTAGGGTACCTTCCACAAAATCCATGTTGATCTGAAGTTTTTCAATTAGCACACAGGAGGGTGGTAATACTGAAGGATAGGAGTTGTAGCGAGCGCTAAGTTTTTTGGAAAAAAATCTTGAATTCATGCGCGGTTGAAGAAAAGCTGAAAGAGTCAATGTGCTGTGCCCCATACTTCATGATACATTTCAACAAAACGTAGCATCTATCATTCAAAAATATAGAAGGAAAAATTTCATCATCTTTTGTCCCAAGTTACAATTTGCTTGATAAATTTACAAACCAACACATAGATGTCTATTTTTATTCTGTCCATTAATAGGTCTATTTTTATTCCATTTACAGACAAAGACATAGGTGCCTATTTGTTAATTTGAGAACTTGCAAATAGATAACTTCATTTAAAACTCCAGGTGTCCAGTACTGCTTAGACCATCCTCTATTACTTTCTAGCTCATGGGAATTTAATAAAAAATTCTCGGAACATCGTGCTAGAACTCAAGAAGTTGCCTGCATTGAGTTCCTCCATTAGTTTTTCGGCTGTGCAAAAATAGGAGCCCCAAAAATCCACATTTGTTGAAGCCTCCTTCATAGAGAAGGGTTCTTTTCTCATTTGAACATTTTCGTGAAGTCTTTTGACATTGTTGAAAGGAATTTTTGTGGTTGGATTGCGAAAATAGGTCTTATTTTGGAATTTTAAATCATAGTTGCAATTTTCGCTATATAAAGATCATTCAGAATATAAAATACATCTAGATCAATAGGAATAAAAATGCATTAATAACTTGGCAAGCACCTCTCTACTGAGGAGAGGTGTTCTAAGATGCTAATCTTTTGAAAACAAATGGTATAAGAAAGCGGAAGATGGTGGTCATTTGGGATGCCAGGGCACTTTGGCGTCAATAAGCACTCTATGTGGGTTTCCACTGTGCAGCCTTGTCTTTTTGAGAGGTTGGGGTATAAGTCAATTTTGTTGAACTGTGAATCTAGTTTAAATCAAGAAAACATGGATCATAATTTACACTTTAAATATGCTGATACTTCACCTTGTCATATTGAGATACTATTATTAATAATAATGATTAATGTGGATGTATATGCGTTCTTTACTTCAGAATTGTATAAGAAACATCTTTTGCTTCCTGGTGTAATGTATGGTGCCTATTTTTTCTATATTTTTGTAATATCTACTGTTTTGTTCAGAATTTATTGTTATATATGTAGGAAAGTGCTGTCAAATCTGGAAGGATCCAAGTGGATGATAAAATAGTTTCTGTGTCATATATTGTACGATCAACTCAGAAGATAAGCCACTTTGTGCACAGGTTGGAAAATGACCCATCATAGTTGGCTTTAGAAATTATAGCACGTCATATACTTTTCCCTAGAACATGAATTTCCTCCTAGCAGTGCATGTTTTCGCAGAATATGCTAATGTTATAGCTTTTAATTTAATGGATTTATGGTCACCAATAGTTATTATATTGAAGTTACAAACATCTTTATCAGAGCTATCTTTGCTATCTATTCAGCTTTGCAAATTTCATTAAAATTTTCAGAAATAAGAAACAAAAAGGATTCCTCTATCATGTACTATGATCTTGGGTAACTCATATATCCGAATTATTTTTGTAAAAAACAGTTTTGCTACCTTAGTTGCATAAGTAGTTTTAAAAAAAAACCCTATCTACTATCACGACCCTACTATCATGAATATGAACAATCCCAGGTAATCCTAATATTAACATAGGGAGTAGAAGGGACAGGAAGAGAAGTGTGCTTACCAGCGCATTATTTAGCTGTTTTTATCATCTGGCCTGCACTACACCGAATAACATTCCTATAGTATCCTATCTTAACGGAAGCTAATAAATCTACATTGAAGTGCATGTATGGTTATATCTTGACCAACTAGACCGGCCATGCTACCAGCAAGAATTTCTCAAATAATTTGATCATGAAGAGAGCTCCTAGGAATGCAAAACCTTCTACCTTTATAAAGTTATCCATCTCAAATCATTAAAGTAGCAAAATGAATGTATGAAGTTTTCTTGTGGTCGTGATCTATCAATAGAAAGTCGGGATATATCACATACTTGTCCTGCTTTCTTTCAAAATCAAGCAGACAAATGTGCATACAAGTTAAGAGTAAGGAGACCTATAATAGTGCATCTATTAGTTATTTTGAATGATAGATGTATGGTTTACGACAAAGGTGTAATCATATGTGTACTTAATTTACTTAACATGTATATTACTTAACTTTCTGAGTATTTATATACTTTAGGGCCCCTTTTGAATGCAGAATGGTTCTTGTCAGCATGAGTGTATTTAATTTAAAAAGAATTCCGATTGGATGTTCTAAAATAGACATGAATATACTTAATTTAAACCTATTGATATGAGAAATTTGATAGGAAACACTTGTAGATCTCAAGTATTTCCTATCAATCTTCGGAAAACAGTGAGAATTCTTCACAAAAATCCACACAAAACCATGAAACAAGAGATAATTTGTATTATTTGATGAAAGGGATACGAAAAATACCAAGATACAATTGATTCTCTATTTGAGAGGATGATCTTTTTCTCCCAAATCTCTAGACGCCGCTAGAGCCCAAAGAAACTAAGAGATCTCAAATGTCAGCCAAATTCCAGATGCCCTAACCCTCATAAAACAAACTATTTAACACATACAATCCAAAAGGAAATATCTAAACAATCCCTACATTCAAATTTCCCTCCTAACTCCCTCAAAAATCATTCCTAAATCGCTTCGTGGGATTTGCGGTTCGGTTGGCACATACAAGGAGGCGGAAGAGTTCTACCTCTGTCTGCCTGAGCCTGTCCCGTGTGGACCGGCTGGACCGGTCTAACAAAATTCGGCCATAACAAAGATTGGGCCTAAAAAGTCCTGAAAACAATCCCGATTTGGATCTGTTATGGCCTAATTTGATTTTTTTAATTGGCCCATGGCAACTTTTCCTTTTATTGGCTGATTTGGTTTATTTGAAAGTTTGTGGTGCATCAATAAATTTGAAAGATAAAGCAAGTTGAATTGAGAATAAAAGCTTTTGTAAGCAAACCTCCTCTCGCTCTTCTTAGTTGCTGGCTTGTTTCCTCTCCCTTCTTTTCTTGTCTTCTCTCGTCTACTTATCCTTCCAGCAGGCCCCGTCTCTTCCCCCTCCTTTCATTGAGAGCTCTCTTCCTCTCTCTATTCTTAAGTACAAGTCACACTCTCCCATCAAATCATGAATAATGAGGAGTGATTAGATATCCTTCTTCCTCTTTATGTTTCCTGCTCTCTTGCATGAGGAAGTGTTCTCTTTGCGGTCACATTTCTACTAGTGCTACATTCTTATGTGTCATAATTCCTTGATGGGCAATTTTTCGGTCAATTTCTTTGGAATATATGCTTTTGAGAATTACAAAAATTAACTTGCAATGGTTCTTATCAGCTTGATATTCTTGTTCCTTAAATTTGATTGTTCCTTTAAATCATTTAGTTCTGCCTTCCCCGCCACAGTGCCATTCAAGTTCGATTAAACTAGTACTTCTTGATATAGAAATTTGTTTGACGTGAGATGTTATCTAACCAGTTATATTTCTTGATGCTATCATTTCAGTTTCAAATCAACTTGAACATCGTCCATTCTTTGCTACCCTTAAAGCTTATCAATGTTGCAATTAATAGCTAGTTCATTAAATAGAGGTATTGATTTTATGTTGCTAAGGACAATGATCTGCCAGGAGAGAAGTTTTCTCCATGTTACACAGTTTCAATGAGTTATGTATTTTGCTATACAAAATGATTTACAGAAAGTAGAGATAACAACTAAGTATTCAGAAGGAATGAATGGAGGTGAATCCATTAAGCTGATTCAAAATAGTTGTAATTAGGCTAACGATTATTTCAATTTTTTTGGTATGAGGCTCGGAGAAAATTATCTGTTCAGCTTTCTATCTTATGATGTGTGTATTTAAATGTATTTTTAACAGGGTTTATGCTAACTTGAAGTTGGATTTCAAATTAGGTAGACTTGAGTAATATTGTTGTAAAGGGTTGTTTTAAGTTGTAAGGTCCTATCTGCTATATATATTAGATAGCTTAAGTTTTATGAGTACGAGAAATGCATTTTAATATACATGGATTGTTTGCATAACTGATTGGCACCCAAAATGATCATACGGTAAGTAGATTACTAGATAGAAATTACTTTAGTCATCTTGCACCAATTCTCATGCATTTCCTTTATATTTTAAACTGTATGTTCTCTTATGGATTCCCTATATGTCTAAGATTTCGTTTGGGAAGACTTTCTTACTGCTTTTTAAAACAGCTTTTCAATACAAAATTTTTAATTTTTACTAAAAATCTGCTTTAAGCAGCAGTAAGAAAGCCATCTCAAATGAAGCCTAAATATGATTTAGTATTCATAAACTTTATTTATAAATTTTCTTATATGGACAGCACATTTTTTTTGGCTTTATATATCCATGAACACAATTAATATAAAGAGAGACAGACCTTCTGAAAAATGAACTACTGAAAACGGATTCCATTCATCATTTTGCTTACTTAACACAGACCTGCATTGGCAGAAGCATCATGCATTGGATTCTAGAGGACAAAAAGCTTATATATATATCATCCTCTTGTTATTTTCCTTGTTCTGAGAATTCAGGATTTTGTCCTTGGCCCTAATTCGATATCCTCTGAATTTTTTGTCTATTATTTTGACTTCTTTTAAAGTAGCTGCATAATTTGATTTATAATTAACATTCTCAAATGAGTTTCCATAACAACTAGAAATTATGACTTCTTCGACTGTCTTGCTTGCGAAGAGATACTATCTAGCAAATAGAATGCTAAAAATAGATTGTTACTGTAGGCATGAACCTCCGGTGCTGGCTGGAAATGTTTCAATCCTTCATAGTGAACCTGATGTCATTACCGTTTGTAAGCCTGCTTCTATTCCTGTAAGTAAATTAGTTAACGTATTTATTTGAATTTGTAGTTTCTGTAACATCAAAATCAAATTTCCTTTTTCGAACTTATTTTATATCAGTTCTATTGGATGCAATATTATGCCGATTGGGTCCTTAGTGGATGAGTAACATCTGCATTTCCAATTGGAGAGCCATAAGGGACAATTCATCAATGGGGACCCTTTTTAGCTACGCTCATGCATTCCATGTACATAAAACTTCGACTAGGATGTATTATCGCGGGCTCTACCTCTATTTTTTCCCTTAAACAGGATTTATAATTTGCAGACGATACTTAATCATGAGTGATAAATTTGTTTCATAACTGGATCTTTTGTAACTGGCATGGACTGTTTTGCTTGCAAACATTCAATTGAATTTGTTTTTTGTTGATAAAGCCTTTGTTATTTTCTTTCTGAAAAAACAAAGTGCTCATATGTTATATTGTTCTCAATCAGCAGCTATTCCATTACACTTTCCACAAAGCAATTTGTTTATGTATGATATGCATCATTATTTCTGCATGGACAATGAAACCTGTTGGAGGGGAAAGGAGAAATAACTCTGCATCCATTACTTGGATTTAAAGAATATTCAGTTGACCATAAGGAATTTGTATTCGTTCAATCATGAATTAAGAGAAAATGATTAAAATGATCCCTCAACTCTTTGTGAGATGTCAAAATAGTCCCCAACTCTTTTGATAGATCCATTTGGTCCCAAACCTTTAAAATGAGATCCTTTTAGTCCTAATATACAATACTGGAATTAATGGTGTTAAATGTAAGGATATTTTGATATTTTTTAATTAAACATTTATTAAATGTAATTTTCATCGTAGGATTCGCGGAGAAGCGACGCAAACGGCACCGAATCGGCGCGATTTTCGGCAGAATTCATGGGATTTCAGTCCGAGGTACGTACAGATTTTTGCCATTTTTGTTTCTTTGTATAGAGGTTAACAAAATTTTACCACGTTTAGTAAGTTGCTGGATTATGACTGGGCTAATTTTAAAGGAGATTAACTAGTCAATTGTTTAAGTAGAATTATAAGATTTGCTACATATGTGCAATTATTCTAAAATCAACATAGATTATATCTTATTGTGGTAGTGTGATACATTAAAAAGTTGTGATCTTGGTACAAGTAAAACATCTTTCTATAGCTATAAAGGTTAATGGTAGGTGGAAAGTGGCTGAAGTAGTCAAATGTTGATGTAGACAAAGATGACATTATCAATGAAGCAACCAATCAGGATGGTCACAGTTGTGGTTTTTTACATGATCAGAGAGGCATGCGAGATTAGGAATGACCATGGGAGGGCTTGTCAAGGAATATCGGCTAGGTGTGTGCGGGTGAGCGATAGGCTGTGTGAAGAAAAAATGCATGTGTGCTACAACAGGTTGTGTGAATACAAGTAGAGAAAATTGCAAATAAATGCACACAGGTGATCACGCAAGAGGAAAACTGTGGGCATTGCATATATATAATGGGTGAAGAAGCTGGATGGAGAGATTGTTATTATGGTGCATCTAAGAGATTAGGTGCATGATTGTGTGAAGAGTGTGAGTTGTGAGCATCACTAATAGTGGGTCCTAGATGATGGAGCATTTTGCATGTGTGACAATTAACGAATGGGAAGAAAAATGACTATGAGATTGTAATTAAATATTGCGAGATATTGTGTGAGTGAAAGCAGTGCAAAATTTGATGAACAAATGTATGGTGCACCTCACGACTCTAGATGGATGAGTTTGCAATTAGATGAGTTCTAATATTAAAATTGATGGAGGGGCAACGAGAAATAACTCCGCATACACAACTTGGTTGGCATGAGTAATTTTTGTTCATTCAATCATCAACAATAATAATGTTCTATTATGTATCATTGATCCCTTTTATAGAAATTGAGTGATAAGGATAAAATCAAATATTTTAAAGCAAATTTAATTCTATCTAATACCAACAACAACATCAAGCCTTTATCCCACTACGTGGGGTCGACTACATAAATCCTTTTTTAACAGTGTGTCATGTTAAGAGTCAAATTATAATTTATATCAATTAAAGAAAGGTCATTTCTAATATTTTATCACAAAGTCTTTTAGGTCTACCTCTACCTTTCTTAACATAAGCCAATTCTAATACATCGACTTTCCTAACCGGGTCATCGGAAGGCCGCCGTTTTTTGTGACCAAACCATCTAAGGCGGCTCTCTATAATCTTATCTTCCACTGGATCTAATTCAACCTTTCAAATGTATGCTTATTTCATATCCTGTCTCTAAGAGTAAAGCCACTCATCCAGCTGAGCATTCTCATCTGTGCAACACTAAACTTAATATTATGCTTCTCTTTTAATGGCCAATATTTTGCACCATAAAGCATTGCAGGTCTCACCACGATCTTATAGAATTTTCTCTTAAGTTTGAGGGGAATATTTCTATCACACAACAAGCTTGATGCATTTCTCCATTTCAAGCATCCAACTTGAATTCTGGCAATAATATCTCCATTTATTTCACCATCACTCTAAACAATAGATCCAAGATATCTAAAATGTGAATTCTTATTAATGACAAACAATTTAAATTTAAACCTATCTTTATCCGAAAGAAGATTACCTTATAAAATAGTTCAAATTAAAAAATAAAAGAAATTCGGTCATAAATGAAAAATGAGCTTAAAAAGTCTAGAAAGCTTCCTTGTTCAGATTTATTATTTTCTAATTTGACATATTGTAATTGACCTATGACGGCTTGGATTTTTTTGAACTGATTTGACCTGTTAGAATAAGGCTGCATTGCATCAAAATCTCAGTAGTGCTTATTCTGTTTATCATTTCAAAATTTGTAATTCTTGATTTTTGTACTCATATCTGAACGATGATTGGATTTTTATGGTTCTATATTTTCTATGATCCTGATCATATAATCATTACAATTGTCATTAACCTTCTCTTAACTTTCTGTGGCTGGGCTATTATGATTGGCCTGTTGTCTTTAATGTTCATTCTGTTAAGTTCTGTACGAGTTATTAACTTTAATTTATAAGTTTTTTGTCAAAATCCTAGTTTTATTACCTTTGGTTCGTTTTCCTTTGTTCCTTTTACATAAATGCTGCCTCCTCTTTTTGATAGAATGGTATGCTGAATTAATTTTCTTACAGGTTCATCCATGCGGTCAATATCGTAAAAATACTATCGTTGGGATTCTCCAGGCAGAACATGGCGTTGCTCCATTATTTCGTATCCTATATTTGTTTGATAATATAAAATTCAGACTACTCATTGATTTGCCTATATTTTGTTTTCTTGCTTAGTTTTGTTTTGCCAAACTTTGCTTAATATTCCTGTTAGCTATCCCAGGCATGCTTCGTGCTTCTTATCTTCTTTAACACTCTTCACTAGCTATTCATAGGCTTGATCGTCTTGTTTCCGGTCTACTTATTTTTGCTCGAAATGCTGGCAAAGCAGAACAGTTTAGGCAACAGGTAACAAGGCCATACTGCTATTATAAGTCCGATGATGTTATTTAGTTTTTTGTATTGATATGATACTTTATTGTAAAAATGGAAGCCTAGAGGGAAGCCCCTAACCCCATTGCAAGGAAAAGAGCAAACTTTAAAGTGTGAAGCATAAAGCTTCATGAGTATACATATTTAACTAGCGATAGTGCACGTGACATATATTGGTTAGGTCAATACAAAAAAATCTCATTCAAAATAATGATGAAGTACAAATATACTCTCATAGTTATATACGCAACTCCCAGTAATAGTTATATATTTTGGTTTATTAAGATGAAACATGAAACTAGAACTGATATAGGACTACAATGTTTTAATGGTTTGCGATAAGAATTTGCACGATTTTTTGAATAAAACAATTAAGATTAAAACTATTAGCAGTAAAAACGACAAAAGAAAACAAGAGAGGAGTGCCTACGTTTAGGCTAAGCCACTTGCCACACGCTTGAATTATCAAATAACTTAGAATCTCAATAGTAAGCAAATGTAGTAGCTTTCAACAAAATCCCTACGCTAACAATGAGATTAGAAGCATAGAAATTTATACTCAATTCTTACGATTACTAGGCTTGGCAAAGATAGGTGAACAAGACCTTCATGAATCAAATCAAACCACAAGAGAGAGTTAAACTACGAAAATACAAGAGTGGGAAGATTGGAAGACCTTTGTCACGGTTTGGACATAATCCGCCATTGAACGACACTACGTTGCTCATCTATGACTTCGGTGAGAGTATATAAAATGCGCTCCACGTACTCTTCGACAATGTGGTCAATATTCGGATTGACGTTGAAGAAAGTGAAGGATGTGAACGAACCCTTGTTCGTCGTAGGCGATGCCGTAATCAAGATCTGGATTGGCCATGCATCACGATCGTAGGATTGATGTGTTGTAGTTGACTTCCTTTTGTCTTCCTTAAAGATTTCCCTTTAAAGCAGGGTGTTCTTTCAAGCCTTCAAATGGTGGAGAAAGAATGAAGGAGCTCCCTTGTCAAAATCTGAGAGTAAAGTTCATATTTTGTTTTGGAGGGAAATAAGGTTGAGGAAATTTGAACTCTAGCGAAAGGGGGAAGGAGGGAAACTTGCCTTTGTGGAGAACTTTGATTGGGATGCAAAAAGGAAGAGGATTTATTGTGCGGAGGGAAATTTGAGAGCGAGATGGGGCGGATATGAGAGAGGGCCGTCAACATTAATGAGGGAAAAGGGGTTTGGGGAATTGTTTTATTACTTGCCTCTTTGAGAGTTCCCAAATTAAAGAGGAGAAATTGATTCCAATCTAATTTAATTTTGATTTGGATTAGATTGGAGTTTCCTAAAATAGAACTCTATTTAAGGAAACAATTCAAATTTCAAATTTTGATTGGGTGATTGAATTGGAATTTTTCCCAAATTAATTTATATGGAAAAGGAAAGAAATAAAGGGGGAAAATTTGAATTGTGGAAGTAAGAGGGAGATGGGTGGCCGGCGGGTAGGTCTAGGGTTAGGTTGGGTTTTGTATTTTGAGGATGTGGAGGTAGGGATGCGTATGTATGAAAGTTGGAGGGAGGTAGTAGTGGACCAAGATTAATGGGTTGGGCTTAGAGGAGGCCGGTGGTGGTGGAGCTTGAAGTGGCCGGTGGTTTTGGGATGTAGGAAAGAGGACAAGGAGATAGTGAAGAAGAACCACGAATCCGACCATCTCCAAGGTTGGCGAGTAATCCAAATTTTCCTATTCTAAGGATTTCTCTCTCCAAGCACACTCAAGTTCTCACATAGAACTCGAGCAATAACAAAATTTTATCATTCAATCATTAACATGAAAATAGAACAAGAGGGCTATATATAGCCTCGTACAAATGACTCAAGAAAATAAAAGACGACTATGCCCTCTGGGCTTACATACGACCTCCCTTAAGTAATGGGTAAAAACAGAAACATTAATAAAACAAATACAACATAAAATAATAATAAACAAATACATAATATGACTCAGAAGTACATTTACTCAATCGTAGTTGTAGATCAACGACCACGTCTTTGGTATACTTTCGAAGGCTCTGATGTCCCTATCATTCTCCCGGTGTGGGAGAAAGCTCGACTCCGTCGAGTAAGCATCCTAGGTGCTCTCATAGATCTCTAATGCGTCAGGGTCAATCTGTTGTAGCTCCTCGTGGTCCAGCCATGTATCCTCCGACTTGGGCTTTCCTTTTCACCTGATAAAGTACCTCCGCCATCCACCTTCCCTTGTGGAGATGATGTCATCACTCAGAATTGAGTCCACCTTTTCTGTCATGTGTGATTTGGGAATATTTAGTAGTGGAGGTAGGTTTGGTTTCTCACACAGTGGGGTCACCCAAGGTTGCTGTATGAGGGGATTTGGTGGTTGAAATCAGGACCTTTATATGCAACTAGATCTTCTATGTTAAAGGAGGGATTAATGTTGAATTCCGTAGACAGATCTACTACATAAGCAATATCATTAATTTTCTTAATAATTTTGAATGGTCCAGTACTCTTAACATGTAGTTTTTTAACAGTTCCCTGCGGGAACCGTTCCAGACGAATCCGCACCATCGCGGAAGCACCAACCTCAAAAGTTTTAAATTTTCATTTAAGATCAGCATACAATTTATAATCGTTATTGCTCTTTTTAATTTGTCGTGCAATTTCGTTATGAAGTTCATGTATATGTGATGCAAATAATGATGCAGACTCAGAAATTCTATACCTAGAGCACATGGGTATGAGGTCTAATGGTTGTCTAGGTTTGAACCTGTAAATAATTTTAGAAGGATTTAGGCCAGTGGTTCGGTTCACAGAATTATTATTGGAAAACTTAGCTATAGGGAGAATAGATTCCCAATCCTTAATATGTTCGCCGACCAGGTATCGTAACAGATTGCCTAAGCTCCTATTGACTACCTCGGTCTGACCATCAGTTTGTGGATGAAAGGCTGTGGAGCATTGCAATTTATTGTCCATTTTCATCCAACAGGTCTTCCAAAAATAGTTAGTGAATTTAACAGACTTATCCAATACAATGATTTTGGGTAACCATGTAAATAAACGACCTTGTTGAAATAGAGTTTGTCAATGTGTGAGGCGTCAAATGTATTGGAGCAAGGCAGAAAATGAGCCATTTTGGAAAAACGATCTACGACAACACAGATGGCATCATTCATACGGATAGTTTTGGGCAGGCCTAAGATAAAATCCATATTAATGTCCTGCCAAGGACAACTGGGGACAAAGGAGTGTACAAACTAGTGTTTTGCTTGTGTTGTTTGGCCAGTTGGCAGGTGTAACACCTGTTGACCATCCGACCGACATCTCTCATTAGGCTGGGCTAATAAAAATGATACTCCATGGCTTCTATCATTTTGTCTCGATCGAAGTGCCGAGCGAGACCTCCGATGTGGAGTTCTTAGACAAGAAATTCTCTCAGGGAGGTGCTAGGGATGCAAAGCTTTTGAGCTTTGAAAAGATATCCATCCTCCATTGTTTAAAATTGCGCAATATGAGGCCCGCCTCAGAGCAATTCTAGTGAAAAACATCTTGAGGCTTACGCCTTTAGCTTTTTTATGAGGCTTGTGCCTCAGCTTGGTTAAGGCTCGCCTTGAGGTCTGCCTCGCCTCGCTAGCGTGAGGCTTACGCCTTATCTTATTTGTTAGAACTAACATAAATCATGCCTTCATGCACATTCGAGCGCAACAACTTCCTCTCGATTGCCTCTACCTCCAAACCACGACCTTCGCCACAACCAACACCATCGTAGCTGTCTCCGATAATCACTTGAAATATGCACACCACCACCCTTAAAATTTTGGAGCATTAATCTCATATTTATGTTGATGAAAATATTTCTAAAAGATGACATTATTGAAATAAATTAAAAAGAAGCATATTGGGAGAAATTCGACTCTATTGAATGAGGCAGGGGATAAACTAATTTATTCTGGCGACAACTCAGATAAATACCACCTCAATGATGACAATGTAGATGATTCCTAAGTTGTTGTCAACTATTTTAACTTTTATTAGGAATTAAATGTAAATGAGCAGAGAATTGAGAAAGAAGAAATTTGGAGTTTAACTTGATGTTATATGATAGTTTTATGCAATTTCTATATTTAATATTGTTTTACTCTTATAATATTTGAATTTTAATTATATTTCACGTAATTTATCACTTGTCATTTTATATCTTGTGTAATTTCTTGTTTCATATGTATGTCAATTTATTAATTCATAATTCAATAGGAAGTTAATATGTTATTATTTAACATATTATTTAGGTTTTATATAAAAAATCACTTTTGAGATTTATTATCACTTTACGCAAATTTTTTATTTTGAGGCTTACGCCTTGAGGCTTATGCCTTGCCTCATGAACAAAAAACACCTCAATAACCAATTACGCAATTTTAAACTTTGCCATCCTCCAGAAGAAAATCATCCACAAGGCACATGCTTCCTGTGGACAAGAGAGAGTAGGTCTCCTTGAATTTGAGGCCTTCCAAATAGTCCATCTTTATTTGGTTAAAACCCACGACTTCAGCTCTCATCTCAGTGGTAGTCATCATGCGATGACTGAGAGCATCAACAACTTTATTTTCAACTCCCGCCTTATGTCTAACGGTATAAGTGTACTCCTAAAGTAATTCTACCCATCGACCGTGACGTGCATTCAACATTGCAACTTATTTTGGGAGTTGATATTACACAGCCTCGTGATTCGAGAAAATGACGAACTCTTGCGTAGGGCTACAAACGAATCGAGCCGAGCTGAGTATGTGAGTGTTCATGTTTGTGTTCAAGGTTGGTTCATGTTTGTTCGAGCTTTATTATTTGTGTTCATGTTTGGTTCATTTAAATTTATGAGTGTTCATGTTCGGTTCATGTTCAGTTCATGTTCGTTCGTTTAGTGCTTATCGAGCTTCTTCGCAAACATATTTAACGATTTTTTTTAACTATCAAACAAACACGTTCATGAACATATCTATGAACAAACATATTTATAATAAAAGCAATTGTTTATGTAACA